CACATGTCTAGATAGACTCAGCTAGTCGAGATATGACGATCGGTATACATAAAGGTGGGTCTAGGACCAATATTTCGAGGCGTTACAAACTCTTGGGGCTGTTATTCCGAAATTTCATTAAAGCGGGCTGGACCTTCATATTGGGCAATTTCTTTGTAAATTGGGTATTTAATGAGGTCTACGGAATTAATGTCTAGTGTCGAGGTCGAGCATTTTTTATTACAATTAAAATGGACCCCGATGATACTACTGTGTAAAGTACAAATATATTTGAACTAAATTAAAACGACCCATAAACATACCATTCGGAAATTTATGAACATTTGAATTCAATAATTTGTATGAAGTTGAGCAAAATACGTATGTGAGCTATATATAAATGGACATATTTAAGCATCCGTGCACCCACCATTTGGTATCCTGCAGCACAGTGCGCTATCCAAAAATTTATCTCGACATAAAATCCAATACAAGTTATTCTAGGTTCCACCTGGTACGTTGTGCATTAATTCGTCCCAATCGGACAAACTTAAGTTACTTGGTACAACATTTAAATGAAATCGGATGAAAATATATATGGAAGCTATATCTAAACCTATATATCGAAAGATTGGAACCTCAGCATCCTGTGTCCCGTGCACAAAAAAATGAGACAAGACGATATGTGCCAACTATAGAGGAATAACGACTGAACCCAATGGTCAATGACATAATTGGATCATACCAATGCGGCTTCAGACCTGGAAAATCCACAATTGACCAGATTTTCACTCTGTGCCAAATCCTGGAAAACCCCACGAAAACACATCGATACATTCCACATATTTGTCGACTATAAAGCCGCATTCCATAGCCCTATCCATTCAGAGGTGTTTAAAGTCATGTCCCCGTTCGACATTCTTGAAAAACTAATACGACTATGCAGCATAACTTTAAGTGGCACAAGGTCAGCAGTTAATTCGGAAAGGACCTATCGGAGCCCTTCGATACCGAACGAGGATTCAGACAAGTTGACAGTTTGTCGTGTGATCTTTTTAATATCCTGCTGGAAATGGTCATACGAGAGGCAAAGGTGAACAGAAATGACACGCCTACGCCGATGACATCGATATAATGGGTCGAACATTGAGAGCAGTAACAGACACCTTTGAACAAATTGAGAAGGAGTGTGCCAAAGAGGGTCTGGCAGTAAACGGCGAGAAGACCAAGCTGATGATATCAACGGGCAAGACGTCAAGTAGACTTGTACCAACTGTGGAACCTGAGACCTACAGCTTCGAGGTAGTCAAAGATTTTATATAACTTGGTACCGCCATAAATAAAACTAATGACATCAGTTTTGAAATGCGGAGAAGGATAGTGTTGGCCAACAGATGCTACTATGGTCTAAGTAAGCAGTTTAGAAACAAGGCCACCAAACTAACACTTTACAAGCCATGAACCATGAGTTGTACCAGCTATTCTCGGACATCGACATTGTTAAACGTATTGAGCTGCAGCGACTACGTTGGCTAGGTCATGTTGTGAGAATGGATGAAGATGTCAAAGACATATAAAAGCGAACAAGCTGATGGTTCACGCAGAAGGGGAAGACCACGAATTAGATGGAAAGATCCAGTGAAAGACAACATTGCCGAACATGGCCTTTCAAATTGGAAAAACTGTGCAAAAGACCGACTCGCCTGGAAATCTTTTTTAAGCTCGGCTTATGGAACGAAAGTTCCGTCACAAGCCAGCTAAGCAAGTAAGTATGTCATTTGGAACACTATTTTTTCGGAGCATGACAAGATACTATCTCATAACAGCATAACATGGTCCCCATATAATACGTTTTTAATTGTTCGCCTCTACTTTAGTACTTTGCGATATCAGACAATGTAGCAGATAATTAGCAATATTGGTTCGTGTTTTGACATACTTTTTTTCTTCGAAAATGTCGTAAAACTCAGTCACGATTTGCGACCATTCCATGAATTTTTGGCTAATATAAATAACAATAATTTAATCAACCCCTCTCCCTCTAAAAAAATCACCCCAGAATCCACTATCTCGCGGTTATCATTCATGACCGTTCATTCTCAATGCTCAACTACCTGAAAGGATGAATGAACAAATCACTAAACAAGATAAAGGCCTAACTGCAATTTTCGATGTTGTTGTTGTGGTGGTTTTGGCAAATTTTGTGGTAGCAATTTGTACAGAGGCTATGTTTACGCCCATTGCTTTGACAGCCATCTCGAAAAAAACAACAACAACAGTTTGTTGTTAATGGATTAAATCTAACAATGAGATACATTTTCAAGAGAAGCAGGGGAGTGAAAGAGAGAAAATATTAAAAATCCGCCATAAGTTAGAAAGAGAAAATCGTTTAGGAAAAAATGGAGTCCTCTTTCCAAAGAGGACGATGCTGATGGCGAACGAGAAAAAAGATCCTTTAAATAAACACCAAATTTGCAACATTGTTACAGTGCAAATTCAGCATTCCACGAATAAGGATCTCTAACTCAAATAGAAAAAAAGAGAAAAACTGCAAACATGAGCGATTTCAGTATTGAATATATTTTAAATAGAGCCGGTGATAAATATGCCGGTACCAATGGTTCGTTGGGTGTTATGCGACGTGAGCGGAACACCTCACACTATCATCCCTACATGATCAATTTGCAAGGACATGAAGGACAATTGGAATTATTGCAAAAATTACAACTACAGCAACAACTGCGACTTAGTCCACAGCAAGATCAAATGCAGCAACAGCAGCCGCAACAACAACAGCAACATTTTTTGGACCAAATACCCGTCTTGGATTGGCTCCAGTACACCCGTTATCACCCACCAAAGTTGCAAAGTAGGTTTTACAAAAAATTCTGGGAAATTTTTTTGACATTTTACTAATTATTTTTTATTTTTCTCCTAAAGGATCCCTACGTCAGGGCCCATCCAAACGCACACCCGGTCGCCTGCCACGCATACCCTTTACACCCGCTCAATTACAAGCTTTGGAAAGTGCCTATAAAGCTTCGAATTATTTGAGCGCTGAAGATGCCAATAAACTTGCCGATTCATTGGATTTGACCAATACTCGTGTCAAGATATGGTTTCAAAATCGTCGTGCCCGCGAGAGACGTGACCGCCGTGAAAAAGAAGAATCTTCTTATGACTCTACGCTATCTTCGAATGCCTCGAGTCCTGAGCCGGAAGATGTTATCGATATTGTGTAATGGAAACGAAGGCGGTTTAAGGATACAAATGGGTCCATTGTGTTCCCAGAAATAAAAAAGTGGAACTAACCGATTACAATTTCTGGCCTGTGGATTTTCCAGAATGTTCGGTTCTAAATATCTGTCGAATTTAAAGTGAATTTCTAATGAAATCGAATTATATTTGGATGTATTCGACATTATTATGGATTAAAGGTCAGCCATTGAATACATAACGTTTATTCAAAGGCGATAGGGTTCGGTATCCAAGGACATAGTATCTGTAGAAGTTTTGGCCTACTTCACGGTGGTCTTCGCCACGGTTGGATTAACGACCATCAGAGCATCAAGTCTCAGTTCTCTGAGATACTGAATTGGAAATAATAAAAATCGTTTCATTTTGAAATTTAATTGATTAAATTTTAAATGTAAATATGTATAAATTTATGTTATTTAATATAATTTTTAGTATTAATACTCTATAAAAAATATATAGATATTTTATTACAAATATTTTTAATAATAAATAGTTTTTAAAACAAATTTAAAAGATCTGCAATCAAGTTGAAATGATAGAAAGAATTAAGGGGCTAATATATTTCCAGTCCAGGTCATCTGACGTTTTTATTAGAAAGTTGGAAATTTTTTAGAACAAAGTCCCAAGTACGATTTGACGTACGACCACGTGTTGTGTTGATTTGACAAAAAAATAGTATAAGCTCTTGAAAATGTTTGTGCGATCATTTTTCACACCTTTCGAAATGGTATATTATGGCAAGAGAGCATGAGATCGGGACCTTTATGTGGAGAATATGTCATAGTGCCACAATCATACATCTATGCGAATGAGAAAACAATTATCACAACTCAATTATTAGACCGTACAGTGATCGATGTCACTGATTTAGCGGCACTAAATTAATAACTTCTAAACAAATTGAGATACGTTGCTGAATTTTTATACAAAATTAAATTATACGTTTTTTTTTTGAATTAGTGAACCGAATATGAACTAAATTGGATTATCTTTTGATATATAACTATTGCCAATAAAATAAAAGTAAAATCGGAGTCATGAAAGTGTTCGTAATCGATGTAATGAAAAAAAAATCGGAATTGTAAACGTTGGTTTTTTACTATCGCGCCGCTAAATGGATGATTTCGGCCACTGTGCGGCATACAGAATTGAGCCTAGAATGACGTATAAAATGTATTAAGTTTTGCTGAAATCGATTCGATTTGCTGATGAGCCGCTTAAACCAACGGCAAAACGCGTTATATAATGGTAGGCGCGTAGGTTCTTCTTCTGGCTTTCCTTTTCATTGCAAAATTTCGATCTTTCAAGCCGAGCTTAATGGCTTGAAAGAGAAAATAACTGACTTAACTCTGAGCGGTACTCCACAATATGTATTCTAAAGTCTTTAAAGAAATTCGAGCTCTCACACATTAGCTCAGGCAAAATGTGAAATTTATGGATAATCTGCCGAACAGCCTTGAGGGTATTCAATCATGTTTCTTAGATTTTATCCCAATCTTACACCCCCACAATGACCCTAAATCCAAATTTCAAGATTCCAACTCTAACGGTTCCCCCATATTTCAAATTGTACTAAATTTAGGACATAATAGTACCAATTTCCAAAATTTCCTACTTACCCCAAACCTACACCTCCACAGTGATCCGAAATCAAAATTTCAGGATTCAAACTCTATCGGTTCACCCACAATTTATATTGTACTAAATTTAGTACACAGTAGAATGAATTTCCAAAACTTTCTACTTAAAACTTCACCCCACAAAGAAACTAAATCGAAATTTTAGGATTTTACCAAATTTAGTACACAGTAGCACCAATTTCCAAAACTTCCTACATTCCCAAATTCTACACCCCCACACTGATCGTAAAACTCTATCGGTTCACCCACAATTCAAATTGTACTAAATTTAGTACATAGTAGTACCAATTTCCAAACCTTCCTACATACCTCAATCTTACATCCCACAGTGATGCATGGTATAATAATAAAAGGTAACAGCAAGTGTTGTTGTACAAAAAACGATACAACAACCACATGGAAATTTGTTGTTGTAAGTTCTACTAGTGTCAACTCATTTGACAGAAAAATGTAAACAAACAAACAAATTATCATCAAATTATTTTTATTTTGAAAATGGAATATTTTCGAATCCTCAAAATAAAAGTTGAAAAACATGAATGAAAATCTATCAAATTTATATTTCTATCGCATCCACATTTTTCCTTTAATTATACCATTGCCATATATATGGGTAACACATATGACAATGCTGGGAATAGCGAGTTATTCCTTCAAGAAAGATTTGCTTCCTCAAACTTTCCCAGCAGGCAGATTGAGTAAATTGAATACGGGAGCACATTAATAAAGAACAATTTCAAATTGTATGCGTTCCCAATTTTCCTGTTGGGCGATTTTTAAAAACATAATTTGTCAAATTCATATTGACACTAGTATTACCTTGGAATCAAATCAGCTGGGATTTGCTGTTACCTTTTATAATTGTACCATGACAGTGATGTAGGATTCAGGATTCCAACTCTATCGGTTCACCCACAATTCAAATTGTACTAAATTTAGTACATAGTAGTAGCAATTTCCAAAACTTCCTACATATCCCAATCCAACACCTCCTCAGTGATCCTAAATCGATATTTCCGGATTCAAACTCTATTCAAATTGTACTAAATTTAGTACACAGTAGTATGAATTTCCAAAACTTCCTACTTAACGCATCACCCCCAAGTGAACCTAGATCCAAGTTTCAGGATTCCAACTCTATCGGTTCACCCAAAATTCCAATTGTACCAAATTTAGTACATAGTAGTACCAATTTCCAAAACATCCTATATACCACAGTCCTACACCCCTCACTGATCCTAAATACAAGTTTTAGGATTCCAACTTTATCGGTTCACCCACAATTCAAATTGTACTAAATTTAGTACATAGTAATACCAATTTCCAAGACGTCATACAAACCCCAACCCTACACCTCCATAGTGATCCTAAATCAAAATTTTGAGGATTCCGACTTTATCAGTTCACCCACAATTTAAATTGTACCAAATATAGTACACATTAGTAAAAATCTCTAAAACATCCTACATATTTTAATCTTATCTCCAAATGAAATTTGTACCAAATATAGTATCATATAGTACTTTTCGTACACATGAGTACAAGCTTTCAAAACCATCTCCTTAAATAGACCCTACATCTTAACCCTAATTCGCATTCCAAATTTCAAGTTTTTAGCTGTATCCATTTACATGCAACGAAATTGTAACAAATTTAGTACATTTTAGTACTTTTCGTATACTTATAGTTGGAATATCCACAAAAAACCCCGTTGCTATATCTATTCTACACTCCATCAGTGACCCTCATTTAAAATTTAGGAATTCTAGCTCTACCGGTTCGCCAAATACAAATTGTATCACATATAGTACTTTTTAGTACTTTTCGTACCGTTCTAGTACGTATTTCCAAAAAACCCAGCTTTATGTGTCACTTTTGGACCAAGAGTGACCCTCACCCAAAATTTCAAGATTCTAGCTTCGGCCGTTTCGTTTGGGCGTTGATGAATCGGTTAATCAGTCAGTCAATCACTTTACTCTTTTATTGGTATAGATACTTGATCAGATAAGGTAGATGTGCCACCCAATGAAAACTCAAAATACCTAATTGCAGGCAATTTGGTTTTAAAACCAAAAATCCCCGAAATAGCGAATCGTAATCATCGTAAAATATTGACCAAAATTGATATGTTTTGACAGGAAGCATTACAGCCAATTTCGTAGAAAAACGTGCCAAAAATTTTTAACAAACAATAATAACCAAAATTAAAACATTTGTTAATGCCAGACAATGTTGATCTTCCGAATTTATTTGTACTTAGTAAATAGTGCGCGTTCTGCGTTATCTGAATTTTATTTTATAGTTTAAAATATTACAGAACTAAACAAATATTATGATATCTTTAATGACATTTTTAATTGTTGTGTGGAAAGCAAAGCCGCGGAGTCTTCCTTCACATTTTAGGTATTTACTTGGTGGGTACTAAACGAATGCGCAAAGTTTCGACTCCATATAAAAGTCCTGCTCAATTTTTCAAGATCCTTGCCGAATTTTCTAGCATTTAATTTTCTTATCCGATATTATAGTATCCACATCATAAAGCGGAACTCAGTGTTAGAGTGTCAGGCTCTTTCGAACTTAGAGGCATTATTTATACCCTTCACCACACTGTGGCACAGGGTATTATGTCTTTGTGCATATGTTTGTAACAGGTAAAAGGAATCGAGATAGACCCATGGTTCCTTTTGAGAATATGGATAGAATCACTTTCTGATTCGATTTATGCATGTCCGTCTGTACGTCCGTCCGTCCATGTGTTTTTGTAAACCATGTACAGGTCACATTTATGATCAGATTTGAATGAAATTTGGCACATGTCACTTATGTGGAGAAATTCGGTTCAGATTTAGATATAGCTCTCATATATAGTTTCGTCCGATTTTATGTAAATGGTGCACCAAACTCCCAATATTGGTCCGATTAAGACAACATTTTGCACAGAGTTCCGAATTAGGTCTAGAGTGATGTATGCCAAGTTTTATTAAAATCGGTTCAGATTTAGATATAGCTATACGAAACTATATATTAAGTTTCGTCCGATTTTATGTTAATATTGACATACTGCCAATATTGGTCCGATTGAGACAACATTTTACACAGCGTACGGAATTTAGTCCAATTTGACATCTGTAAAGTTTTGTTGAAATCGATCCCATATAAAGTTTCGTCCGATTTTATGTAAATGGTACACCAAAATCCCTGTATTGGTCCAATTTAGACAAAATTTTGCACAGCGTACTTAATTCAGTCCAATTCAATCGGTAAAGATTTAGATATAGCTCCCATATACATTTTCGTCCGATTTTAGGTAAATGGTGCACCAAAATCCCAACATTTGTCCGATA